TCTTCTTGATTATATCACCAAAGGTACTAAAAATAATAAAAGATGACTCCAAATTTTAATTACAGTGTAAGTAATTCTTAAAAATTAAAACTAATCTTTTTTTTTTAACACACCAATGACTCAATCTCATTTTCTAAACCTTATTACAAATGAATAAAATTTAAAATGAATATCACTAAAATTAATTAAAAGCACTCATAATCAAAATTTAAAACTTTTCAACCAAACATTCAAGAAAAGCAAAATATTAAGATTAGTTTTATTACGAAGTTTTACTTCTTAAATGATGCTTCTTTAAGGCTTAGTTAAGATAATCAAAATATCATTTTATGAAACTACCAAAAAATAATATCATTTTATGAATAAATTAGAAATTTAAGGTTATAAGAACAGAGTCACAGAACAGTTTTGAGGGGAAGAATTGGATGCAAATTAGAAATTTAGAAGTAGGATTAGAATATACAAATAAAAAAAAATAAATTAGGAAATATGGAGTTGTTCTATTTTTTTTAATTAACTTAATGAAGTTATTAACTTGCAAAACAAGAAAAAGAAAATTTAAAATACTACAAAAAATATTATATTATTTAATTAAATTATCTTGTAAATGGGTTTTATTTTGTAGTTGAGCGGTTTGAGCAGTTTGAATATAAAGTTATAAACCAAACTAATTATATTAGTTTAAAAATTTTTTAATTCAAACCAACCTAATGTTTTATCAGCTCAGTTTGATTTTTAATTGGATCGGATAAGTTTAAGTCAAATCAATTGGATTGAATCAGATATGAACACCCCTAACCGAACCTTTAAACAATTAAGAAGAAAAATATATCAAAACTACATTATTTTAATACACTCTTAATGAGAAAGACAAAAATAATATATTTTTAAACCAAGAATAAGTTTATTTTGGTGTTTTTCTAGAGTTTTTTTTTTTTAATGAAATCATGTAGTTTTGAGGTGTTTTTCCTTTTAATTTTTTCAAAATTTGATCGACAAAAATGAATCTCTATACTCTACAACAAATCTCCTAATAAAATTAAAAATGAACTATATTTCTTTAGATGGATATAATCACAACATTAATTAAGATTTAAGATGAAGTCCAGTAACTACTTGCTTCTAAAAAGAGAATTACTAGAACATTAGACCATGAACAGATGAGGCTAACATTAAGCACTTACAAACTGCGAAAACATGATTCGTGGTACATATATATAATTATATTTGCTAATTAAGTGGTTGTTTGTTAGAGCTTTTTAGCAATTTTCTATGGGGGTGCCGTGCTGTTTAGTTCAGAGAAGGAAAATTTTACTTAGTAATGTGATTAGAGCTAGAGTTACTTGAGAAAGTTGTGTGAATTGACGGATTACTTAGGTCACAGCTAATCTGCAAGGTGATTCTTCCATCCGAGAACTTACACCTATGTAGTTTTCCGTTTACTGACGTTTACATTTGACCGAAAGAGGTTGAAGATTTCAGAAATTGTTACAGTGCTGTTGTAACAGATAAATAGAACTTCCAGTTTAGTGACTCGCGCGTTAGGATATAATGTGAAGGTAACACACAAAAAGTTTGAATTATGTTCTCTTTTCAATTAGAAAGTGTCAAAGTGAGGTTGGTGGTACGAAAATTTTGTTGAATTCTTTACAAGACAAAATAAGGGGGATTTATCTATGCACTACAAAAAAAGTCTAGGTTTGGGAGTTGAATATTCCTACCTTTCGTCCCCTTTTTCTTTGAAAAACTTGATATATAAGCTGCCTAACTTTTTTTATTTCTATTTTTTATTTTAAATTACTTTATGGGAGTCAATCATTCTCATTCATTACCCACCACACCTAAATATTTACAACTTTAATTAAAATTTTTTATTCTACTAAAAGTAAAAATTATTACTGAATTATTTAGTTAGTATTATTGACAACTAACTAAATTTCATGTTTATTAAGTAGTTGTAATTTGAACAAAATAATAT